CACTTTATTATCGCTTTCTGGCCCACGTGTGATAACGTCCTATGTAATAAAAAGCCTACCTAAATAAAAATGTTTTTGCTTGCCGGCGAAAGGAAGGCAGGGAGGGGGCTAGCTTGGCCTTTCATGGAAGGGCATTCCAGAAGTTGAGAACAGCCACCAAGAAGGCCCTCTCCCATGTTCTCACCAAGCTTGTGATGGTAGTGGGACCAAGAGAAAGCCTTCTCCTGAAGATCGTAGGGCTACTAGCAGGTTCGTATGGGGGGATACAGGCTCTCAAATAGTCTGGACCCAAGCCATGTAGGACTTTATAGGTCATGACCAGCACTTTGAATTGTGCCTGGAAACAAACCAGTGGCCAGTGAAGCTGTTTCAACAAGAGAGCTATATGCTCCCTGTAACTGGTCCTGGTCAGCGTTCTAGCTGTGGTGTTCTGGATCTGCTGAAGTTTCCAAACAGTTTCCAAAGGAACACCCATTTCGAGGGTGATACAGTAGTCCAAATAGGATGTAATCCAGGCATGTGTCACTGTAGCCAGATCGGAAGTCTCAAGGAACGGGTGCAGCTGGCACACTACTTTTAGCTGTGCAAATGCACTCCTGGCCGCTGCTGAGACCTGGGCATTCAAGCTCAGAGTTGAGTCCAGGTGAACATCCATGCTGTGAGTCTATAGGCCTAAGCAGACTGCCCGAAATAGTGCACATTAAATTGAGTCACTGCCCTGGCTCAGTGCTAGGGAATCATGGGAATTGTATTTTTTTCTGAGACATTGAGCCTTCTCTGTCAGAGAGCTCTGGTGCCACAATAAATTACAGTTCCCATGATTCCCTAGCACTGAGCCAGGGCAGTGCCTCAATTTAATGTGCACTATTTCTGGCAGTCTGCTTAGGCTCTGAGTTTTCAGGGGGAATGTCAAATGCCCTCTGTAAAAATGCATTTTTAAAATAAAAGAAAGCCAAACGTAAGGTTCTGAACCCTTTCCGAACAACTGCCCCTCCTTACCTTGGCACAGGCATCCCTGGCATAGTTGGCCTCATTGATGCTGTGACCTTTTTGGATAACATCGCCACCCCCAGTAGCCACAGTTCGGTACAAGAGGGTATTCCGGAGGCTCTCTGGGTCTGTCGCGGTCAACTCCGCAAGATAGGAAACCAGCTCTGCGTTCGCTATCTCCATGTTGTCGCCTGCAGTGGCAAAGCGGACGTTGCCCTGGAAAAATCCCACAGAGGAAACATATCCATCAGACATCAGCAACAGAGAGCCAAGGAAGGCTTCCCCTGCAAATGACCATCATGTCCCTCTCCCCTGGGTTGCCAGATTGAAAACTGAAGGTGTTGGCTGCTACCTGGTTGCATGACAAGCAACACAAATGCTGAAATTTCCTCTTTTACACAAGCATTGGAGAGCCAGCTTAGTGTAGGGTTTGGGTGTTGGACTAGGACTCTGGAGACCAGGGTTCAAATCCCTGCTCGGCCACAGAAACCCACTTAGGGGGGTTGCAGACTGCCAGAAATAGTGCAAATTGAGTCCACTTTTAGGGTTAGGGTTAGTGCTAGGGAATCATGGGAATGTTTTTTTTTTTCTAAGACATTGAGCCTTCTCTGTCAGAGAGCTTTGGTGCCACAATAAAATACATTTTCCATGATTCCCTAGCACTAACCCTAACCCTAAAAGTGGACTCAATTTGCACTATTTCTGGCAGTCTGCAACCCCCCTAAGTGACCTTGGCCAAGTCACACTCTCTCAGCCTCAGAGGAAGGCCAAGGCAAACCCCCTCTGAACAAATCTTGCCCCAAAGAACCATGATAGTTTCTTTTCAGTCAGAAATGACTTGAAGTCACACAACAACAAAAAACACAACCATTAATGGAACAGGAGCTCTCTTGAGTTTTCTGTCTGGCAAACCAACCAATCCATCGCTCATTTGATACCCTGCTGTATAAATCTTTCCCTTCCCAGAAGGCTCAGACAAAAGCAAAGTGCTGTAGCTTCTCCTAGGATTTTATCACCCCAGGAAAATCGGTCACACAATCATGATTAATATTTTCACATCATGCTTAAAGAGGCATTATCCTGGGAATAAACAGGCAATAAACAGCAAAAAATCATTCGCAGGCTTTCTCCGTGAATGATCCGTTGCTGTTTATTCCTGGGATAATGGCACTTTTAAGCACGGCATTGTATGAAAATGTGAATTGTGCTTGCACAATTTTCACGTGATTTTCACTGTTTAAACCCCCAATTTTCCCATGTGATGAAGTCCATAACATGTGTGTTCTTCCTCATTCATAACTTTTTCCTTCTTGACCAGATACTGATGTTGCTCAGCCACGTGCATCCAAATGTCCGGTGGCTGCAAGAATGAAGGATATGACATGCCCTTTCTGTCCTGAATATTCTTGCAGCCAATTTTTATTCCCTTTCTCTTGCACAGGTTGACCAACTTCATTTACCAAGTGTAAGATGGCTGCCAGGATCTTGTACACGGAGCTCATCTCTTCCGAAGTAAAACCGATCACCATCATGGCATCCGCTACAGCCTGGTAGTTGGTTTTATCACTGCCCAAGGACTAAAGAATCGGATTATAGGGTGAGTAGAATTGCAAAGGAACAAAACAGAAGTAAGAACAGGGTGAGGTTTGCAATAATAACATTTGTCCATTACCAAAAAAATGCTCTTTGGGGACCTGTAAATTAAGCCACAACCTGGAAATGTTACTGTTCTGGACTACAGCTCCCATAATCCTCCACCCAGCATAGCCAGTGGCCTATGCTATCTGCTCATTCAGCATCCGAATGCAGTCTGCACAAACTGAAAACCACAGGAGGAAATGATGCCAAAGCAACTGTCCACAATGAGGGGCTGGTGGCTTCTGTGTCAGCTGGGCAGCGAACCTGTCCCAGATTTCAGTCTGAACATTAACTGGCGTTTCTGAGAATACATTTACACTGTAGAAATATTGCAGTTTGACACCACTTTAAGTACTGTAATGTTGGTTCTCTTCTACGTCCGCAGGTATGCAACAACAAAAACAAAAACTAGAGAAGCCAACTATCAGCACTGTCTTGAGGTGCTTGACTTCCACAGCAGTTATTTGCAGCACAGTGCAGAAGCATAAACTCAATTTGTAGTATTTGGCAATATTGCACTGACCAACCTTGAATGATGCACAGACATGGATTCTTCCAAAAGTCCTTGAAGGCTTTTATCGCTTGTTGCAATATGTACAAGTTATATACAAACTCTCCTGTAACTCTCTCCAACATTCACTGTCTGATATACAGCAATCCACTCTCTCGAACCCACACCTGCCCTGGGTTTTAGAGCACTTACATGATGACTAAGGGTTGAAACCTGGTGTTCCTTCTCATTTACAGCCATACAAACTATTCTACACTGTCTTAAAGGAACATTGTTCCCAACATGTAACTCCATCCTATGGAATCCTGGGATTTGCAGTTTTACAAGGTCTTTAGCCTTTGCCAAAGAATGCTGCTGCCTCACAAAACTACAACTCCCAGGATTCTGTTGGATGCAGCCAGGGCAGTTAAAGTGGCGTCAAACTGCTTTATTTCTATGCACCCTAAAGGGCGGAACCCTATCCATTAAGTGGATTCAGTACTTTGGACAACCACTCTGAAGTCATAAAATGATAGAATCGTAGAGTTGGAAGAGACCCCCAAGGGCCATCCAGTCCAACCCTCTGCCATGCAGGAAATCACAAGCAAAGCATCCCTAACAGATGGCCATCCACCCTCTGTTCAAAGACTGGATTATTTGTCCTGCTGCCACGGACTCCTGGGATTTGTAGTTTGTTGTGGCCCCAGAGCTCTCTGACAGAGAAGGCTAAATAGCCCACAAAACTACAAATCCCAGAATTCCAATGCATTAATTCTGCAGCGTAAATGCAGCCGAAGCCTTAGGAGAGATCTTTCAGCCCTTTAAAATAAGAGGGGGGAGAATCATAGAATCATAGAATCCTAGAGTTGGAAGAGACCCCAAGTCCAACCCCCCTGCCATGCAGGAACTCCCAATCCAAGCATCCCCAACAGATGACCATCCAGCCTCTGCTTAAGAGAGATCCATACCAAAGATGGGAAACCACAAAATAATGATATATCAGGGAAAGAGGCATGCGAGTCTGAGGAACCCTGGAGACAAAAATAGGAACCCCAGGAAGGTCAGAATGAATGTTATCCTCATCCATACTTTTAACAGTTGAATGGAAGGAAAAATTCCTTCCTATGAAGCTTCCTTATCTCTATAAGCCATAAGCAGCAGTTTAAATTCAACATACATTTTCTTTGCTCTCCCACCCCATTGCATCTGTCCCCTATAGCTGCTGGTTCCTATCTTCGTATGAATGGCTTGCAGTTGTCTTTGCAGCGCACCTTCCTTTCCTTATTACTACAGATGGACAGTGCCATAGCCACAAAGCTGCACTTTGGACATGTTTCCAGATTTGCTATTTTAAACTGCACTTCCAGACTCCACAACCAGCTGGGAATGCCAAGCTGCTCTGTCTCAAAATGCCATGACAGTGCCGCAGAGCGGTGCTTTGCAAGACTGCAAGAGCTAACTCAGGGCTAGTCTATACATAAGTATATTGCAGTGGGCTTTTGGTATCCGCTGGGGTTTGGTTCCAGGATCTACTGTGGATAGCGCAATCTGTAGATCGGGGTAGGCAACCTTTTTTCCCCTTTAAGGGTCGAGGGACTTCAGCTCCCAGAAGCCTCAGCCATGTTGGCCAATAGCTCCTGGGATTCTGGGAGCTGAAGTCCCTCGGCCCTTAAAGGGGAAAGGTTGCCTATCCCTGCTGTAGATGCTCAAGTCCCATTAAATACAATGGCATTGTAAAATGGTGTCCCTTATCTAAAATGGCAAAATCAAGGTTTTCCTTTTGGAATTGATATCTTTTTGGAATATTTTCAAGCCACGGATGATTGAATCTGTAGAGACGGAGGGCTGGCTGCATGTGAATTGCTGTAGATTTTCACAAAAGTGCACTGACACTTAGCTGTCTGCATTTTCCTGCCTAAATTTGCATCTGTTCACCCTCTGCTGAAAATGCACAGCCACGCGAATTCATGTGAAGCGGGCAGACGGAGACATGTTTAATAATGCGCATCCTTGTGAATACTCTGGTAAAAAACACAAATCCTTTTTCAACAGAGTTATGGAGCCCCATCCCCACAAAAGTCCAAATTCTTTCAAAGCACAGTCTATTCAGTTGGGATGAGGAGTATTTTAATTTAGTAGACAAGTCTTTCGTCTCTTTCCTTCTCTTCCCAAAAACTGTCTATCAGAAAAACCCACCGTACTTTGATGTTGAGATAATAAAGAATCCTTGAATTTGAGAGAGGTGGTAGGTTCTCCCTATAATCCTTTTGTTTCAAAATGTGTCAAACCAGCATGGGTCAAACATTACATTTTTAATCATTCTATCCCTCTGCCAGGTTTTTGGTGTGAGAACAGGTGTCTTCCATGTCAACAGGGTAGTAGTGGAGCCATTCCACTTTAAAGGACTTTAAAGGAAATGTCCAAGGTGCTGAAACTATTTTGTGGGTAGGGTTCAGGACCCTGGTTAGCTCCCTTACCATTCAGATT